GTCCACAAGACTCGTAGAAAGCTTTCGTGGTCTAATAAAGTTCCAGCTTTACACTATATAGAAGTTATATTGCTTCAAACAGAGACCTTACATCTCTATTTCTTCTCCACCATTACTCGTTACCATAGTAATATTTAATTATTTCAATGAATATCATTAAATTTTAATGACCGGAAGTTCCATTCCAATTTCTGGACAATTGTGCTTTTATTTGGCTTTACACTTGCATGAAGACAGTGCAAAATTTCTGTGTTTTAAACAGAAATTTTTTTTATTTTGGCTTCTAAAATGAGAATTATTTACAAGTTCATTTTTTGAACAAATGATTACATATGAATTCGGTTATTGTTATTACAAAACAATACGAGAAAGATTAGAACCCAATGTTGAAACTGCCAAAGGCAACTTCTTTTCAAACTGGATGTTCATGACATAATGCTGCAACAATACAAGTGTGGCTGACAAGATTGGAGGGTACAATATGTTGAAAACATAATATGCTCAAATGAGAGCCAGTATTGCCTTTTTGACACTCTTGATTTTGTTCAGCATTCTGCCCTCTATAGTGACATGGTAGGTAGGATTGCTTGTATCCGACAAGAACCTCACAAGACAAGGTTCTGAAAGAACAATGGCCTTTGTCACATTTTTAACTGTAATAGTGTCCTATTAACAAATAATACCATAAAAATTTATTGCAATTTAAACTTACTGAAAATGTATATACAATTTGCTTGTCAGTACAATAAGATAACAGATTGTAAACACTGGAGGGCAAAAAATCTCTTAAATCTTCAAGTGAACCTAAACCAAAAGCAGAATTATGACACATTTCAATTTAGTGTCAAATACCATCTATATGCTTTAGTCTTTCTTTGTCTGCGCTATAGTTTTGTTCTACTTTCAGCAACCTTTTTAAAGTGGTTTTTTCTTCATCAACATATCTGTGAGCAATATAGTTAAGACAACATCATAATTTCTCAATGCTTACGCAAGAACTTTATCACACCACATTGGCCATTCAATCATTACATCAGTTACTTCCAAATCTGTTACCTGATTCAGTTCTTGTTCCAATTGTAATATAAAACTTCAACTATAATTATACGGAACACAAAATTAAGCTTACATAGTTGATTCTGTCTAAACAAGGGAATTTGTCAATGACCTCAGAAACAGAAGGTTCCCTTAATATCCAGTTACGCCTGTTTGGGAAAGTCTTCATCATCAAATCCTTTACAACTGAATGGCGCTTCTTCTTTTGCTTCCATTCCTTTTAATTTCTGAGACCATATCCTCGTACTCATCATCTTCTAAAAGTTCTTCTATGCCTTGTTTTTCAGAACTAATTAGCAATGCTTTATTGTGTTCATAAAGACCAATACAGTTACCTCCTTTTCTTAGTATCATTACCAGTCTTCCCATTTTTGAATTTCCACCGCAGCTGCTGCTTCCATGTATTCTATAATTCAAATTCAGAAATTCAATATTTGTGCTGGTACATATACTTGAAAGAGCCATGCAATTAACATGTGAAAGTGACATAATCACTATACTTATGAACTCATTAAAGTTTTCATATGGGCGGCTTTATGCATTATTCACTTAGAGCGGAACAATAGAAAAGTGTATTATTCGTATGTGCAAAATTTAAACTTACATATGGATATTTTGGATCTTCATCTTGCAGTTTCGGAAATTTATGTATGAGTAGCTGACAAACAGCATTATAGTCCTTTGAAGTTGGTCTGTATGTGTTCTGTATCATTCTATAACTCAAGATAAGAATATCATAAGGTATAAATGCAATACCTTGAATAGAGGGTATTCACTATTTCGGTTCTCATTGACCGTCCCAAAACTTCTACTTCCCCACTCAAAAACCTGCTGACTCTGGGGCTGAAGTTGTCTGGAATCAATGCTGGGAGCCACTTTCCACTTTGCTGCAACACTTCAGTCCCCTGGCTTTGTACGGCAATTGCTGGTTCTGCTGAAGCAGTGGATGTCTCATGAGAGGAAGTGAAGTTTTGCTGCTGCTGCTGCAATAGAAATGCAATCAGAGTATATACAATTATTGAAGGATACCACTCCTTTTCCATTTAACTTCTGGATATAGCGCCATATCTTACAATAAATCCCCGTCGGCTGTATCATTTTGCATAGATCTTCTTTTGTCAACAACATCAACTCTTCTCCATCAATGTAGTTTTCTATCAGTGCAGTCGTGATAAAATTTGACGTGAGTATTCCGTATATAAGAATATAACTCACGAATGAAAATATCAGAGAACTCTTGAAGTATGTTTTGGGTTTCCTTCAAGTTTTCTGCTACATCTTCTGGTGTACTTGAGCAATCTATAGTTGAAAAGTCCATTCTGCTACACAGTGCTAGAGCTGGACTGCTTTCGCGTATGAACTAGATCCCCTTCCGTGCAGTGATGTGACCAGATTGACCACACTCTAGCCACATGCACAGTAGGACACTCCCTTCTATTATTATCTACTCTTCACGGTACTGATGCTTTACCACGCTGTCCGCTCAATGTCCTCTTTGGCTGCACTTGTTTTGAGTTTCAACCGTATTGAAGTGAGTTATTTATCTTTCTTTGAATGTATCATTATAATTTCTGACTACATACTTAGAGTAGGGCCTAAGTATTAAACAATGGGGACCCGACGTCAGTTATGGACCGCTCAGTTTTAGATACAGGTGACATTTTTGTTCTGTTTTGGAGGTGCATGATATATTATAGTAGCATAAATGTCTTTGTCATGGAGTAATTCTCAGTATGCCACGTGTACATGGCCAGTAGTTGTAATCTGAATTAGTCCTGATATCAGTTTTAGATCATGCATTTTGGGCAATATATAAGTCATGATACAAGTAGAAGAACGTAAGGTCTTTTACAAATGTAGGAATATAACGACTGTACCGGTACTGAAATCAGACTTGATCTATTCATTTTGGACAATATTGCTGATTCAGGCATGATATCTATTGGCTGTCTACATGCATGATGCATTGGTGTACATGTAGTTAATCCCCACCCACTCCAGATGCATTAATTAGAAAGCAGCTTAGATTTAGTTGATGAATGCATGCATTATGCTTTTACTTTTACAAGAACTACTGCTTAGCTGATTTTCAATATATGCATGCG